TTGCCTTAGAGATCCATTTTACATAAAGGAGCCCTTCAAAAGGTGCCTTTTTGTCAATTCTTGGAGTCAATCCATACTATTGACAAACTATGGCACATAATTGACTATCGGTGTTGTATGAGCAAAAAGCTCAGGAGACTTCTAACCACTTTTCCGAGGTGGCTCAAGAGTTGTAGAGCACTTCTTCTACTTGTTTGGCATATGGTGGATAAAACTGAGGTTGGCAAATAAAATGCTACAAACATAGAGAAACCCAAGTTGGGAAGAGTTTCAAACCTTATGGGACATGACCACTGTGTTTGGTATGGAGTATTTGGAGGGAGAGGAGTACAGGAAATCTTTGATGGGCATGAGATTGACTCTTCCCAAGCTGAGACAACTAGTGTTGAACTATCTTTTTATTTTGGATTATGCAGAGCTTTTATAGATTCTGCTACAAAGCTCTTCGAGTAAGTTTTTTTTTTTGAAAGCTTGATCGCATATATTTTGTGTTGGATGCTTCTCTCGTATGTGGGGTGTATAAATGGGTTGCGCTGCCATTTCACACTGTACTGTGAAAAATTCATTTAATGCCCTAAATCTTTGTATAAGGAAATATAAGGGTCAAAAGGGTCAAGTACTTGGATAGGGACATACGTTCAAATGTACAAAATTGTGGGGTGGAAAGTTTGAATAAATCCTCCATTCTATGAGGAAGTTCTAAAACAACTGATATGCGAAGTTTTCCAGCAGCAAGAGAAATACAAGTTCGAGATGTGGTTGATTTAATTGAAAAAAGGGCCTTATAGAAAAAGGTGGTAGGAAGAAAGTACGTTTCAACTAAGAAAACTATTTTTTTCCTTAAAACCCTTCAGCTTTTCCTAAAAGCTTCACATTTTGATAGCTTTTTCCTTCCATTGGCTCTTATGTAACATGGGGACAGCCTCCTCAGGCAATAATGAAACAACAAAGGTACTCATTATATCTATGTTAGTGTTTTGGTCTCTCTCTTATGAGGGTTATCTTATTTTTTTCTTCTTCTATGATACCTGCCGATTCTGCTCCCTCCCGCCACCCCAAAAAAAAAAACCCAAAAGAAAAAAATGGGAGCACACATATAAACACAATATTGGGAAGTATGTATCCCATCCCAATGTGAAGCCATGTTGACATGTGCTCCACAATCAAAGGCTGATTGAATAAATAAATCTTAACAGCTTGTTTATACCTTTTGGAACACCTTCCTAGTATAAGGGGCTAGGCCTGATATAAATCAACCAAAAGAGAAGCCCAAAATGGTCAATGTTAGAAAGTCTTCATAGTGTTGCTACAGCTGAATCAAGGTCATCAGCCCCTCCTATTTTCGAAGTGTAGTCACTCATGGTGCATGTCAGGATGCACTGGTTACATCAACTTTTGCTTTTCCAAGACCTGCAGCCCATGAAGATCAATCCAAACCAGAACACTTTCATTTTTCTCTGGATCTTCAAGAAGCAATAAATAAAAGGCCTACCACCTTTAAGTTGGAAATCAATGCATGAGTTGTTGCATCATGCAACAAGTTGACCTGAGGCCCTCGGAGAATCTTCATTTTCCTCAAAAAAGGAAAAACCAGTGCCGCACAAGCTCATACTCCCAGAAAATCTCAATGTCTTCAACCTATTTGTATCAATTTTCACTCCTCTAACTGTCGAAGATAATTTTGTCTGCGTTTTGGGAAAAGTCCTTAGAACTTTCCATCTTATTTTGTTAAATTTTGTAAATACCATAAATAAACAAAACCTATTCCTTAATCTTCAGAATTCCACGTGACTTAATTATTGCAACACCTTTGCACTTGTTAAACATCTAAAGGGCATGCAATTATCAAAAAATAAATAAATTCCATTGCCACTTTCAAGATGCAGAATCAAACAAAAGCAAAACAAGGAAATTTTATTTTAAAGGTAAAACTTTTTATGCTGTATAAGAGCTTCAGTTGAAAACCTCATGTAACGGTAAATTATGCTGAGAATTTCAGTTATAAAGCTCATACAACAAAACAAATGAATGCCACAGGAAAACTAGGGTACCAATGGTGGTGGAAGTGCAATCACTGTGTGGCAGCAACAGTGTCTAGAAGTCAACTTAAGAATGATCTTTGAGTCTTTTGCCAAATGATAAACAAAGAGGTTAACGGGAAGGGCAAACCGAACCAAAAGTACAGATCATGCTAGAAAATATGGTCATTTGACTGGCTAAACCTGTCAACTATCCCTATGAACTGATGCTGCAAGGATCCTTTTGAATTTGTAAGAAAAAAAGACAGCCATTTATTTTATCAAACAAAAGGGGACTCCCATCTCCTTTTTTTTACTCGTTAGCACTTTTAAAAGGGGACTCCCATCAACAAGTAGCATCACCAACTAATCGTTGTCCCACGCAATTGCCAACATAAAGTGAGAGGCTTTACATGAGCAAACGAAATGAATCCCAAACAAACATCAATGCAAGAAAGAGAGATGATAATTATAACTTGTATCTTAAGTCAAAATACAATCAGTTCAAAAATCAAACCAAAAACAGAAAAAAAAAAAAAAAAGGGGAAAGATCAAGTTGAAAAAGAAAACCTGTGCAGGAATATATTGGACATCCTTTACTAAAAACTCAGCATCATTTTTCTCTTCACCCTCAAGTATACTGCAGATATTTCTTTCTAAATCCTTCTGAGTGTTTTGATGGGAGACAACAGTCAAATCGATATCTCCATCGGGAAGATAGGTTTTCAGAGGCACAGAACCAAATGCAAAAACCTGCAAAAAAGTGCAGAAAGATGAAATAAAAAAAAAAATTCTCCGCCC